ATGTGAGACAAGAGAACACTCTGCTCTCTTTTGGCAAATCTGAAAAAACTTCATGGTAGTGTGGAAACTCCAGGGTAAATCTGTTTAACTGATAGTTGGCAACTTTTCTCTGTTAGTTGCTTTCCCCACTAGTGATGATGATGACGACAAGATTGTCGGGGGCTACACCTGTCAGAAGGATTCTGTCCCCTATCAGGTGTCCCTGAATGCTGGCTATCACTTCTGTGGCGGCTCCCTCATCAATAACCAATGGGTGGTGTCTGCGGCTCACTGCTACAAGTCGTAAGTCATTGACACTCACTTTCCTATACGCTACGATCAATTTATCCTCTATCCCTGACTAAACACAATCCAGAGTAAACTGTAGAGCTGTGCTTGAGGGTGAGGCATTCAGACCTCCAGAGATTTTTTATTCTCCCAGGCATTGCCTGATTATCAAGGGGCTTTTGCATGGAGAGATAGCCTTTAGGAGTCTCTGATGTCTTCCCAAATGATGGTACTAAAGATAAAGAAGGGAAATAGTGAGTAGTGACGTTTCCCTAGAAGTACCTTATGACGTGAATCACTACAGAGTGCTAATCACTATAGCTCAACAGGTATAAATTGTAGATGGAGGCAATAACATACAGATAATTTACAGCACAACATTAAACATATGCATGATTCATTCTGCTCCCTCAAAATTCTGCCATTCCTCACTCCTGCTTCATTTCCTACAATAATTGGTGATCCCAACCAGAGAGAAATGGCAAGTGCTGATCAATCTCCACCAACTTCCTTTTTTTCTTCGACTGTTTTATTCAAGTCTTTGGGCTCTCATTCCCCTTTCTTACTATTCTAACAAGAATAGTGGGCTGCGAGTCTGCACTTGCAGTGACACCTCCATAAGAAAAACTCTAACCTGTACCATGTGGCAGTATACAATGCTACCTTAAGTACACAATTACTGTGTGACTGAATGCTTCAAAACGATGGTGTCTGTGTTTATGCTTGTAAATGGGTGGGGGTCAGGACAAGTGGAAGTAGCTCAAGTTAGATTCTTAGGAACCTCTTATATCTTTTAATCCAGCCGAATCCAAGTGCGCCTGGGAGAATACAACATTGAGGTTGTGGAAGGCAATGAGCAATTCATAAACGCGGCCAAGATTATTCGCCACCCCAATTACAATTCAGCCACCATCGATAATGACATCATGTTGATTAAGCTGAGCTCAGCTGCCACCATCAACTCTCGAGTATCCACCATCTCTCTGCCAAGATCCTGTGCAGCGACTGGTACTCAGTGTCTCATCTCCGGCTGGGGCAACACCTTGAGCAGTGGCAGTAAGTGTCACCTGACACAGAACTACCAAGTGTGAGGATTTTAAAGCTGAAAGACGTGAAAGTTCAGCCAGTCCAAATTCTCACTTAAGGTTAAGTTCCCAGAGCACAGTTTCTGGATATATTGAGTCTCAGAAATATACCATTAATAACTGAAATAAAGAGGATTCCCTTGCTAGAACTATGTGGAAGATACAATAATGAAGTATTACAAAGATATCAGGGTATTTAACTGAAGTGTGATTAGTGATGTGCAGAGATCTATAACCTGAGGAGGTAAACACAACAAAGACTAAGGGATATGGTCTTGCCTGGAGCATGTACCTGCTTGAGAAATAAAGTTGCCAGATGTAAGATGTGTGGTCACTGATGCTACTGTCAGAGAAAGAACAATTCATTCATTAGAAGTACTTGTAAAAGCTTTTAGAAAAAAATATTGTTCTCTCAAATGAGAAGTCATCAACTAATTAAAAGAGTGAGAGTATTGGTGAAGAGGGGAGAGGTATTGAGAAATAAATTTTTGGAAACCTCATGAGTAACCTTACATTTTTTATGCTTCTACTACACAGCCAACTACCCTGATCTCCTGCAGTGTCTGAAGGCTCCCATTCTCTCTGACACTGCTTGCCGCAAAGCCTACCCAGGCAAGATTACTACAAATATGATATGTCTGGGATTCCTGGAGGGTGGAAAGGACTCTTGCCAGGTTAGTTTCTTTGTACTACTTCTCAATTCCAGCTCATTCTTTCTTTGTTTTTTTTTTTTTAGATTTTTTTTTTAAATTGCATTTTAGGTTTGGGAGTACATGTGAAGAACATGCAAGATTGTTGCATAGGAACACACATGGCAGTGCGTTTTGCTGCCCTCCCCATCACCTATATCTGCCATTTCTCCCCATGTTATCCCTCCCCAACTCCCCACCCTCTGCTATCCCTCCCCTATTTCCCCCAGACAGACCCCAGTGTATGGTGCTCCCCTCCCTGTGTCCATGTGTTCTCATGGTTCAACACCTGCCTATGAGTGAGAACGTGCAGTGCTAGATTTTCTGTTCTTGTGTCAGTTTGCTGAGAATGATGGTTTCCAGGTTCATCCATGTCCCTACAAAGGACACGAACTCATCGTTTTTGATGGCTGCATAGTATTCCATTGTGTATATGTGCCACATTTTCCCTGTCCAGTCCATCATCAATGGGCATTTGGGTTGGTTCCAAGTCTTTGCTATTGTAAACAGTGCTGCAATGAACATTCGTGTGCATATATCTTATAGTAGAATGATTTATAATCCTCTGGATATATACCTAGTAATGGGATTGCTGGGTCAAATGAAATTTCTATTTCTAGGTCCTTGAGGAATCGCCACACTGTCTCCCACAATGGTTGAACTAATTTACACTCCCACCAACAGTGTAAAAGTATTCCTATTTCTCCACATCCTCTTCAGCATCTGTTGTCTCCAAATTTTTTAATGATTGCCATTCTAACTGGCATGAGATATCTCAATGTAGTTTTGATTTGCATTTCTCTAATGACCAGTGATAATGAGCATTTCTGTGGCTCACACCTGTAATCCCAGTTATTGGGAAGGCAGAGGCGGGAGGATAGCTTGAACCCAGGAGTTCGAGACCTGCCTGGGCAATATAATGAGACCCTGTTCTCCACAAAAAGGAAAAAAAACAAAAAGACAAAAAAAATAAAAACAAATAAGCATAACTTCCAGCTCATTCTCAATCTTCTCTACCATATTCCCCTTTTCTGAAACACAGAGGATTGAAAAACTGGCCCCACAACTGATTGTGAGATGTGAAGGATAGTCTTAGGACAAATTAAATATTTCATTTTTATCGTATTAAGATCTAGGTTTAAGAGTTCAAAGATGCACAGAAGATGGTGTGCAAATAGTACTTCCAAGTGCCCTTCTGAGGAGGTAAACTGTTGAAAGGAACTCTAGTGGAAGGAGCAGAGCTAGTTGAGCACCATGAAACCTCCATAGTACTCACCTCCTCTTGGCCCAATTGGCTTACTAAGGAAAGATAAGGGACTCAAAGAAGAGATGAAGAAGACCAACTAGTGATATAGTAAATAGACTGAGGGTTGGGAGGTTTCAAGAGGAAGAGAAAGTGCTTCATGGATCAGCAGTGTGAGACAATGGCCCCAGCACAATGGAAGAATATTTTGCAGCCTATTCTCTCATCTGCACATAAATAAGAGCTCTGAATATCGCTTTCTTTTTTCTCAGGGTGACTCTGGTGGCCCTGTGGTCTGCAACGGAGAACTGCAGGGCGTTGTCTCCTGGGGCTATGGTTGTGCTCAGAAGAACAGACCCGGAGTCTACACCAAGGTTTGCAACTACGTGAAATGGATTCAGGAGACGATTGCTGCCAACTAAACACCTTTTTCTCTTCATGTTCCATTTCCTATTCATCAACTTCCCCTTTTCTCTATGCCTAAAAACAGTATCTAAATAAAAATATACTGTCTTGTACCACATATTTCCAAAAATGGTCCTTGTCAGTATTGATGAACTTTCTCTTGAGACCAGCTGTTAAGAAGGTGGACATAGGGTCAAACTATTATACTGAGGAAATGTGAAAGGTTATTGATATGGTTTGGCTCTGTGTCCCCACCCAAATCTCACATCAAATTGTAATTCCCAGTGTTGGAGATGGGGTCTGGTGGGAGGTGCTTGAATTGTGGGGGCAGACTTTCCCCTTGCTGTTCTTGTGATAGAGTTCTCCTGAAACCTGCTTGTTTAAAGTGGATAGCGCCCCCTCTCCTGCCATCCATGTGAAGATGTGCTTGCTTTCCCTTCTACTGTGATTGTAAGTTTCCTGAGGCCTCCCAAGAAGCAGAAGCCTGTACAGCCTGCAGAACCACGAGCTGCTTCAACCTCTTTTCTTTAGAAATTACCCAGTCACAGATATGTCTTTTTAGCAGTGTGAGAATTGACTAATACAGTTATTTAGTCATTAATTAACTAGTCAATATAAGTTTACTGATCACCACAATATGCCAAACTCTGTGTGATACACTGAAAATAAAAAGGTGAACAAGTTTAGAGGTCACTGTTACCACTTGTTTTAAGATTTGGCTACAGTATATATTTTAACCTGTATTTTTGGGCCAGATGTTTTGGCTCATGCCTGTAATCCAAACACTTTGAGGAGCCAAGTTGGGAGGATCACTTCAGGCCAGGAGTTTGAGACCAGCCTGGACAATACCACCTCTACGAAAAATTAACAAATTATCTGGGCATAGTGGTGCATGCTTGTAGTTCCTGCTGTTTGAAAGGATAAGGTGAGAAACTTGCTTGGGCCCAGGTGTTTGAGGCTGTAGTGAGCTTTGATTGTGCCACTACACTGCAAGACCCTATCTCTAAAAATAAAAATAAACTAATTGAAACATGCACTTTTGTTGTAGATCATGCATTCACACCTTACAACACATAATGACACTAAAATGAAGAAAGTTAAAATTAATTGCCTCAAATCATTTAAATAATTCACAGCAAAACTAAGAGAAAGCCCAAGTGGGCATTCCCAGTACATTGCTGCTGATATAACAGAATGATCTGTCTTTCCTTTTTCTTCAATCTATCTGAAACTCTCTGAGTAAGAGAAACTTCTAGATGCAGCAATATTTAAAATTCACAGGTTTCCTGTGTTTTCCATGATTTCACCTACCTGTATATTCTTTTCCTCCAAGATCTTTCTTGTTTTCCAACTAGAAATTTGCTGTAGCAGGCCTGGTCTCTGGAGACAATCTGTGTCCCTTTTCACCACAAGTTCCTCTAAATCCCAGCTCAGACACTATACTACTTTAAACTACAAACAAAAACAAAAACAAAAAAAAGCACAAATAAAGATAAGTTTGCAGAAAATAGATATTGCACCTTGAGGTCATAAACAGCTGCAGATGTATTACCTGTTCTCGCCAGTCTGTCTGGAGAGTGCATCACAGACTCTGGCTTCAGTTCTCCTACAGGTTGTCCCTCAGATCTTCATTGTTCTGTGCATCATTGAAAGGAGGGCTTGGAGCAGAAGACCCTGTACATGATTCTCATGTTTATCTGGAATGAGACGAGGGGAAAGACACACTGGAATCAGAACAGTGCAGGTGCAGGCAATTCTTGGAAAAGAGAGAGTACTTGCAGTTCAGTGATTAGGGGAAGGAAGGATACTGTCTTAGGCAGCTCAGCCTGCTATCAAAAAAATATCATAAACTGGGTAGCTTGCACAACAAACATTTATTTCTCACGGTGGAGGCTGTGAAGTCCAAAATCAAGACATCAGGTAGTCTGGTGTCTGGTGAGGACAGCTTCCAGGTTTTCTAATGGTCATCTTCTAGTTGCACCCACATGTGGCCAAGTGAGCCATAGTTGCAACCACATGTGGCCAAGAGAGCCAGTTCTAGGCCTATTCTCTTCTTACAAATAAGTACATTAATCCCCCATGATGGGATTAATGTACTTATTTGTAAGTACATTACTCATTTGTAAGCACACCACCCCCTAGACCTCACCTAAATCTATTAACTCCCAAAGACTCCACTTCTTAACATCATCCTGTTGGAGGTTAAATGAATATATGAATTTGGGAGTGGGGGGACACAAACATGCAGACCATGAATATTTCAGAGGAGGAGAGTATTGAAAGAAATATGTGCCTATCAGCAATTTCCTATCCTTTTGTAACTATGGATGGTACATTTGTAGGGAAAAGCTGAGCTCTTTTTTTTTTTTTTGAGATGGAGTTTCGCTCTTGTTACCCAGGCGGGAGTGCAATGGTGCCATCCCGGCTCACCGCAACCTCCACCTCCTGGGCTCAGGCAATTCTCCTGCCTCAGCCTCCTAAGTAGCTGGGATTACAGGCACGCGCCACCATGCCCAGCTAATTTTTTGTATTTTTAGTAGAGACGGGGCTTCACCATGTTGACCAGGATGGTCTCGATCTCTTGACCTCGTGATCCATCCGCCTTGGCCTCCCAAAGTGCTGGGATTACAGGCGTGAGCCACCGCACCCGGCCAAAGCTAAGCTCTTAATACTGCCTTATCACTGCCCCAAAAATGCAGCCAAAATTCCTTAGACTTGCATGCAACATTCTCCAAATATTTGATTACAACTAACCATTCCTGTCTTATTTCCTTTGTTCTCATCGAATTGCTTTTATGCTTGTGTATAGTCTAACTTAATTTCATATATAAATCTCTTTGTATATATAAGCAGCCTTAGATCTATGTCAACTAAACATCTTGGCCTTCTCCTTTGAACAAATGAGATTGAGTTTCCCCTGTTCCCTCTGAAATACTTTTCTGCTCCACTTAATTACCACCATCGATACCTACCTACTCACCCCAGACAGTGGGAAGTTTCTGAGACTCGACAGGAAGTGTGAGATACACAAAAGACAAGAGCTCAGGGCAGGTCCAGAGAAAAGAAATTATAAATATTGTCAGTCCTTTATGATATCCAACAGTTTGTTTAGTACTTATTCTTGCCATTTTCAGTCTTTTATTTTGTTTAATGCTTCCCAATTAGTGAATTTTTATTAAATTGTAAATTCCATATGCCATTTTAACCAACTTAGCTTTTATACATTCACCCTAATAAAATAAGCATTTAAGCAAAAAGAGAAAGGTATAAACGTGAACATATCTCTTAGGAAGTTGCAAGGAACAGAATATCTGACAAATAAAGTCTTTTAAAAATGCACAAATGGAAGCTTAGGAGTAGGGAGAGCTTCAAGAATATTTATGCAGAAACATTTGTTTTAGTAAGATCAATTACTAAATTTATCTCTACAAATAAATTATTCCCTTTTCTCTATAAATCATATTAATTCATTATTTTATTACAACACCACTATTTATCTTTTATGGAAAGTAAAAACTTTATTGAGTTTTGAAATCAAATTTTAAAAGGTCTTTAAAAATTAAATATTTGCTATCCACATATTGTCTAGTCTTACTTTTCAAAGTCAATTTAAAACGTCAATTTGTTGAAGGGGCACAAACACAAATGTCTTAGTTTCAGAGATTCTCATTCATTCTGAATAGCTCTGTCTAATCACTTTCTATTTCTGTTCCATCTAAACAGTAAGACCTCTTGAAGAAATAATCGTTTTCAATAATTTATTCATTTCTCCATTTGTTTTACAAGTTCCCACCTTCTCCAGAATAAATCAACTCACTCTCTCCTCCACTAACTGATCTCATCTTCTCACTGTGAGGCACAAATTCCTTCACCAAAACCTACCTGAGAGTTATATAAGCCTTCTAACACAATCTCAATAGTCTACTGTGATTTTGTGTACACAGTCCCCATACAAAGCCTTCGTTACTTAACAGAGCATATTATTAAGGACACATCCATGTGCATAACCCAAGTTCATTTTTTAAATGACTTTCCTATTTCTGTGGTCTGTTTCTATTTGCAGTGTTCTTAGATCTTGCCAGCTCTGCCTCTGAGACGCTTATTAGACTTGGAGCGAACCATGGTAGAGACCAGTGAAAGACCACGAGTTTCCTCCAAGGCCAGCTTATGGCTCAAAGATCTGATAGCAGTAGAGTACACTGTTTTCCAAATAGAAGATAAGGCCATATGATCTGAAGAATTGATGGAAGGTTTGTTTTGTCTTCATTTGCAAGGCGAACTTTCACAGTTCACACAATTTTGCATTGTGGTAATTTCTCATTCAACTAATGTACTATATCTGCAGGTTAAAAATATAAAAACATTATAAGAGAAAAGAGTACGCTTCCCTGGGAGTCACTGGATTGTCGTCCTGGCATGGCAGAAGATTCCTTCATCATCCCACTGCATTTCCTCTCTATTACACGTAGAATGGAAAGACTGGCAGATTTCTGGGAAATGCCCCTAAACTTCCTTTACATGTAACTGCCTCCTCAACAGGACCTCTTCCTCCATTTTCCTTTCTGAGAAGTGCTCACACAGAATTATAGACACTGTTCCGATGTGACTCTCACCATTGAATTATCATAGACCTTTCTTTTGGGGTTTCCTCACTTCGAAATCATATTTTCCATTTTTGATAATCAACACTTTGAACTCAGAAATTGCAGTTTTAAAATCAGTAACTCCCTCCTTCATCCCCTGAAGTCCTTTTTATTTTCTTCTTCCTGTTTAACTACTAGGATTATTTTTCCCTCAAAAAAGAAATTTCCATTTACTGCCATGTCCAGGAAAAATAAATTTTCTTCACTGTAGCTTAGTATGGTCTCCACATTATTACATTGTTTTACATGTGTTTAGCACAAAAAAAGACAAAATCTCTCATTTCATTTGAGAAAAAGGCATAACAAAATATTTTATACTTTTTTCCCCATGCATTTTAACTTACTTCCTTCAACCCAAATCAGCTTTTTTTTTTTTTTTTTTTTTTTTTGAGACGGAGTTTCGCTCTTGTTACCCAGGCTGGAGTGCAATGGCACGATCTCGGCTCACTGCAACCTCCGCCTCCTGGGTTCAGGCAATTCTCCTGCCTCAGCCTCCTGAGTAGCTGGGACTACAGGCACGCACCACCATGCCCAGCTAATTTTTTGTATCTTTAGCAGAGACGGGGTTTCACCATGTTGACCAGGATGGTCTAGATCTCTTGACCTTGTGATCCACCCGCCTTGGCCTCCCAAAGTGCTGGGATTACAGGCTTGAGCCACCGCGCCCGGCCAATCAGCTACATTTTTGTTCAATCAACACCTTCATAAGCCACATGGGATGAGAGAGTTACACTCTCCCACAGGACAGCTACCTGCCATGTTTTACTGAATGAGATATACAAACTGAAGGCTGGATCTAATGGTGAAGACAATAATCTGATAAAGAGAGAGAGAGAGAGAAACATTAGAGAAGTATAAGAAGAAAAGAGGTTAGATAGGATAAGACTAAGGAATAAATTTTAAAAGAATAAAAATAAAATAGATCTTTAGAAAATTCTGCTGTGTGGTATACAGTACAAGTTCTCTTCTTTAGTTTTCTGTGTAATGAGAACGAGGCAGGATGGGGAAGGTATTTTTTTGGTCAATCATAGCAGTTACCAAATACTAGAAATAAAAGGTCTTCATGCCATAGAGAACTTATCTTCCGTAGCTCTGGGTTCCACCAAAGATTTTTCCCCAGACATTGTATTACTCCAGATTCATGCAGGAAATACAAACCACATTAGCAATAGAAAGAGGAGAAATTTTAGTATAAAGAACGATTAACTTTTTGCCAGGTGCAGTGGCTCATTCCTACAATCCCAGCACTTTGGGAGGCTGAGGCAGAAGGATCTCTTGAGTCCAGGAGTTTGAGACCAGCCTGGGCAACACAGCAAGGCTTTGACTCTAAAATAATATTAATAATAATAATTAGCAGAGTGTGGTGGTATATGTCTGTAGACCCAGCTACTCAGGAGGCGGAGGCAGGAGAATCACTTGAGAAAAAAAGGATTATTAACTTTTTTGGTGAGGGGAAAAAAATATGGAGAATGGGGGAAAGCAAAAAGATCTTTTGCAGTGCCTGACGTGTGAATGCAGACAACTCTAAACGGAGTTGCAGGTTTTTATTGCTGTTGTTTCATATTAATATTGTCCCTTTCTGCATTTTTCTTGATAAACAAGTGTTAGGTTTCATAAAACAAAGATAACATTTGTCTCTAATGAAATTTTCAGGATGTCTGGTTTGTAAAATTTAGTATTAATCTTTCTCATCTTACAAAAATCCCTTAATCCACTCTAATCTGCAGGAAGAAAGCCAGCTGAGAATGAGTGCGACACAGTCAGATTGGGAGGCTTTCCAACACTGATCTGTTCCATCCTCTCATTCCCCCGCATCTTTTCTGAGCCTCAGGTTAGTCACGAGATGTCCCTAGTGAAACGTGAGTAGAACTGGAGTGGGTAATACATTTTCTCTGTAGAGAGAGCTGCATTGAGCTAGGAAGAGCTGAAATCTACAAAAGCCCAGTAACTCTGAATCCCTAACTTCAGGAGGAACCCAGTTCCAGGACATTGCTGGAGCCAAATCACACAGTCCTGTGCACCAGGAGCGTCCAGAAGGTTTGCTCTTTTCTAGTACTCAGAAGCTTTGCAGAGGTGAAAAAGGTGATAGTGATGATAACTCACACTTACTATCTGCTGTGTGTCATATACTATGCTTAAGTGCTTTTAGATAATATTTAATCCTCGTGGCTATCTTATGAGGTAAGTACTAATCTTCTTTCCATTTTATAGTTTAGATTACTGAGACTTAAGGTAGTTCAATGTCCTTTTCAGGATAAGGCAGCTGGTAAATCATAGGAATTGAACCCTATCAGGTCAACTCCAAAGCCCATGCTCTTCACCATTATATATATAACAAAAAAAGAAAAAAGAAAAAAGAAAAGAAAATGTCAAAGATTTAAGGACTTCACAACAATATTTTGACGTTAAGATAAAATATTGTCCCTGAGAGCCTGGAAAATATGGGAATCCTAAGGTTACAGTTCTTTTATTTTATTTAACCAACATTTATATAGCATTTACTGTTTGTTAGGCAGTGTCGAAAGCCACTTTATAAATATTAACTCTTTGCATTTTCCTAAAAATAATCGACGTGTTGGGGCCTTCATTTTACAGGAAAGGAAACTGACAAAGACAGAGATAAGAAGCTTGTGCAAGG